TGAGATTAAAAAGAACTTGTAGGCATTATAGTTATCATTGGATATTGCTGCCTTCATTTTAATTAAACAATCATTAAAAAAAACTTTGTTTACAATCAAATATAAATGTATATTTAAATAATTATAAATTTTAGACATTATAATTTTATATTAACCCTCTCATATAATTTTATATTAATAGGTGTTCAACTTTGATTGAAAATCTAATGTCAGCTAACATGTGGTTGTCAGTCATCATATATACAGATTCAAAAGAGGAAACATAAACTTATCGTGCATTATGGAAAGAAGATAATTACAAACTTTCGTCTCTCCCTTTGTGACAAAGAAGACAATCTTAAACTCCTTTCTTTTAAACAGGAAAATGGGGGAAAGTCACTCTTTTCTTGAACTACTCAATGCTACATTCAAGGATTTCGGATTAGAAACTCAAGCGTCAGAGTGATCAGGTCCGAAAAACTCCCTTGACTCTAATCTTCGTGTAAATGACACATTGGGAGAACAAGATATTCATCTCGGACCCACCTAAGATTTACTTTGGAGTCATCTAGGATATGCTTCGGATAATCTTGCATATACAAGTTTGGACCATATTAAGCTGAACAAGACGTCAATAATGTTTTTCTGGACACAAGTCAAAGAAAAAGCAATATTATATTTATGGTCGAATCAGCTTGTTAAAGTGATACATTAATTACGACACAAGAATAGATGTATCCATCTATAATAATTTATATTTAGATATTTTAGATTATGAGGTTTACGTTTTCAATCATTCATCCTAACCTAAATAGTATATCTTTAAAATTAATTTTTGATTTAAAGTGTACAATGGAACTAAACATCTCTTTTAGGTGATTAGTTGGAAGGTAATTTATTTCATATACAATATTATATTTTTTCTATCAAAATTTATGATTTTAGATATCTCACTAAAAATACAGTTTACTATACATGCATGACATGCAAATGCATATAATGACCATAAATACAAAGGTGACTTATGCCCTACATCTTATAGTGCAAAAATTCCTCTCTTTCTCTCTCTCTCTCTCTCTCTCTCTCTCTCTTCATGTATGAGTGTGATTAGGGATATATATTATTTTTTGATATGAGGTCCGTGTTAGAAAAAAGATAGAAAAGACATTATTGAAGAAGCTTGATTGTATTCACATGTCCCTCTCCGATTTATACAGGTTAGGAGGGAGAATTTTTCTTAATAGAGTAAAGAGATTTCCTCGTATAGTTGAGAAAATTTTATCTACTATTATGCCCCCGCAAGAGGGTGCTCCTATCAAGGACACCAATCTTGGATCGATATAATGCAAAAAGGTGACGAGCGAGAGGCTTCATGAGTGAGTTGGCTAATTGATCAACCGAATGGACATGAGAAACTCGTAGTTGACGGTGGACAACTTAATCTTGAACAAAATGGAAGTCGATAACAAAATGGAACTCCAACTGATTGGATTAGCGTCAAGAAAGACAATATACCCCGATGTGGATGTTCGATCATCAAAGTTGCCTGCCAAATCAGCATCGATAAAAGCATGAAGTTGAAGTGGAGAGTATTTATGAAGAAAGACACCATGATTGAGAGTCCCCTTAAGATATCGTAGGACTCGTTTGATCGCAGACCAATGCATAGTAGACGACCTCTACATAAACTATGATAATTTGTTGACTGCAAATGAGATATTGGGATGGGTGAGAGCTAAGTACTGTAGGGAACCAACGACTTATCAGTATTGAGTGGGTTCCGTAGTAGGACTTCCATTAGATAATTTAAGAGAGCCACTAGCAGATAGAGGAGTTGTAACCACATTTGCATCTTACATGTTTGTTTTAGATAATAAATCTTGAATATACTTTCTTTGTGACAGAAAGAGACCGAAAGATGTGAATGTAACCTCTACACCCAGAAAGTAGTTCAGGGGTCCTAGACCTTTGAGCGAGAATCGATTTGCCAACTGTTTGATGAATGCTTGGATTTCTACGGGGTTGTTGCCTGTGACAATGATGTCATCCACATAGACCAAAATATATAGTGTCGCTATGATATTGTCTAAAAAATAACGAGAAATCATATTTGGAGTTGAGAAAGCCAACTGAAGTCAGAAAAGAGCCAAGTTTAGTGTACCAAGCTCTTGGAGCCTAACGAAGTCCATAAATAACTTTTCGAAGTTTGCAGACATGCCTTGGATACTGAGGATGAGTAAAACCAGGAGGTTGTTGCATAAAAACATCTTTAGTTAGAGTCCATTGTAAAAAAGCATTATTAACATCCAATTGGCGTAATTGCCAGCCCTTAGTGGTGGCGAGACTCAGGATAAGTATGATTATAGTGGGCTTAATAACGAGACTAAATGTCTTAGTGAAATCAACTCCAAGTCTTTGATGAAACCCTTTGGCAACGAGGCGTGCCTTATATCGGGCAATAGAGCCATCGGGGTTCCGCTTAACTCGAAAAATCCACTTACACCCGATGATGTTTTGTATATGATGAAAGGGTACTAGATCCCATGTTGAGTTATGGAGGAGGGTATTATATTTCTCACACATGGCGGTACGCCAATGCGGAGATTTTTGGGCTTGAGTGAAGGTGGTGGGTTCAACGGTAGTGGATGAGGAATCCACGATAGCATAATGATCAAGGACTTGACGCAGTTTGAAAATACCACTCTTAGAGCGTGTGGTCATAGGATGGTTGGAGACTACGGGACCATGAGGTTGTGTTATTGGAAGAAGCGATTGAGAGTCATTGACATAGGCCGGGTCAGGTGGAGGTACGTCGGGGTCACTTGGCCGAGAAGGAGGTAAAGATAATGATTATGATCCTGAATCAAGTACCCCAATAGTCATAGAAGAGAGAAGAGAGAAGAGAGAAGTGGAGTAAGAATGGGCAATTGTTGAACCGGAGGAGTGGAATAGTGTGGATCATGAGAGGACGAACTGGATGATGTCATGAGAGGCTCGTCCAGTTGGATCGTAGGTATACCCCAATGAGAAATGGTTAATGAGGTGATTTGCATGGTAGGAGAGGTATGGTTTTGAAAAGAAAAGATAGAGTCAACAAAAATAACATGACAAGATATAAAAATTTTGTGAGTGTGGAGATTATAGCAGCGGAAAGCATTATGTTCAAAAGAGTAACCTATAAAAACGCAAGGATTAGATCGTGATGTTAACTTGTGAGAGGCATATGGATGCAACCATAGATAATATAGACAACCAAATACTCCGAGTTTCCGAAGGTTTAGGGGTTTGTGAAATAGTGAGTCAAAGGAGGATTGGTATTATAGGTTTGTGAGGATAGGCATTCTATTAATAAGGTAGACGACAGTTTGAAAGGTTGTCGTCCAAAAGTTTAAAGGCATGGAGGCCCGATGGAGAAGTGTGAGCCCAGTTTCTACTATATGCCGATGCTTGCATTCGGCGGAGCCAACAAGTTGAGTTGTATACGGGGGAGACTTGAGGTGTTGGATACCACAAGTTGAGAGATAGGACGCCAGGGCTTGATATTCACCGCCACCATCAGAGTAAAACATTTTGATGGTAGACTGAAAGTGGTTTTCGACTAACTTTTGAAAAGTGAGAAAGACGGTCGAAACGTCAGATTTATGGTGAAGAGGATATAACCATGTGTACTTAGTGAAGTGATCCACAAAAATGACATAAAATCTGAATTTATCAAAAAATAGGATTGGGACACGGCCCCAAAAATCTATATAAATAATGAGAAACTAGAAAGTAATTTGTACTAAATAAGGAACGAGGGGACTAAGACGACGATACCACATATCAACTAGAGCTGCAACGGAAGAATGAATAGTGGGCTGGGTTATTCGTGGAGCTGATGGTCATTTGTAAATGTTTCCTCTATTCGGGCCCTCGACTAAGGATGCCCCTGTGCTCAAGTCCTTAACAAGAAAGGAATCAAGAAAGAATTCAATGGAAATATTGTTATTTTTGCAAAACTGAGAAACAAAAATGAGGTTGCATTTAATATTAGGAGCACATAAAATATCATCGAGTGTAAGTATAGTAGCATCAGAAGTAAGCATTGTGGAACGAGTATGAGTTATAGGAAGGTCGTTACCATCACTGATGATGATATCTTCATCGCCACTATAGGGATTATGGAGAGATAAATTCTAAAGATCAGAGGTAATGTAATGGGAGGCGCCAGAGTCCACAATCCTATTGGGCTGGCTAGTCATCGGGATAGTGAAGAGATTTGCCTGAGGCTAGTGTGACGGAACAGGAAAGCGGGGTTGAGATCGACAAACTTTAGCGGAGTGTCCGATTTTATCACACAGCTGGCAAACGATCCATCGTTGTTGGCTTGAAGGGGTAGGATGCCAAGGTGGACGAGTATTAGAGTTGCCACTTTGCGAGAAGTTAGGAGGATAAGGGGGGTGCCCGAATTACAGTCGCCAATTCCTTGTAGTTGTCTCCAAGACCATTTAGGGTATGGATGATGATCTCCCTCTTGTTTGGTCACCATCAGCTTGGATAGAAGACTAAGCTTGCGAGTATGCGAATGATTCGCCAAGGTTGTTTGCAGTTTACCACGCATTGGATAGAAGACTAAGCTTGCGAGTATGCGAATGATTCGCCAAGGTTGTTTGCAGTTTACCACGCATCGGCAACAGTCACACATGCAGAAATCAATGAAGTGACGAATCCAACAACTGAGGCTTGAATAGCTTGGAGGATGAGATGATCTTGACGCAAACACAGTTTGTCAGCTGGATTAGGTTCTTTGGCGGACAACTGAAGGAATTATCTATGTAACATAGCAAGTCGTATCCAAATAAGAGATTAGAAAATTGAGCTCGTCAAGATGCATAGTAGCCACCCTTTGATAATTTGAAAGGGATTAGTGTGGTAGTAATGATGGAGATAAGCCCTGTAGGAGAAGAACGGTGAGTCCCTGCAGAAATATGAACTGGAATAAGAAGATAACGAAAACATCTCAGCCTCCTTTTTTTTTTTTTTACAATAGTGCTTCACGGTAGATGGAGGAAATGGGGGAAGAAATGAGTGAGAAGAGTAGCTGCTGCTGCGGCTGCGACTACAAAAGCTGCTGCTGCAGCGAAGATTGTTGCTTCAGCAAAGATTGCTGCAGCAGCGAAGACTGCTGCTGAAGACAGCAGAGCAGCTGCTGCAGCGATGAGGAAGCTGCAACAATGCTGCAGCGATGTTAAAGAAATCCGTAACGATGCTGCAGTAGGAGAAATTTGTGAGAAATCTGCTAAAGCTCCGTCAGCCTCAATGCAGGAAGCAGCAGCAGCAGATGCAGTGAAAGCTGCTGCGGCAGAGGAAGCAAGATGCAGCGGTAGATGGAAACGGCTGCTGCTACAAGAACTGCAATCGTTCCTGCTGCTGCAGGAAGGCAGCGATGGCTGTGCGGCAAGGATGGCGGCAGCGGCACTTCTCGCTCGAGTGAGATGTGGGAATAAGGATGAGAGGTCACTAGCCGAGGAGCAGTTGCGAGGACAGAGGCCACCACGGCAGCATAGCGGACGCGAAAGTAGGCGAGGTTCTTGCAAGGGCAGGAGGTGGCCGAGCGGTCGGCGAGTTCGGACCAGCTGCGGTGCTCCGAGAGGCAGCGTGTGACAGAATCCGGGAGGTGATGCACCAGGAAGCTGCAGCAATGCACTGTAGAGGAGGTGGCAGCGATGCGCGAGGAGGCTGCAGTGATGCACGAGGAGGCTACAGCGATGCACGAGAAATTTGTAGCGATTAGCTTAAGAAATCTACAGATTAGGTGGAGAAATCTGCATGGAGAAATCTACAACGATTAGGATCGATCACAGCCTGATGAAGATGATGCTACCGCCATGGTAGATGCGAGGACGACGGCGGACAACCCGAGCCTGGGGCCGGTGAAGAATAAGGAGGAGAAGAGGGAGCTACTACCAAGGGCTCTGATACCATGTTAGAAAAGAGATAGAAAAGAAATTATTGATTGTATTCATATGTCCCTCTCCTATTCATAAAGGTTAGAAAGGAGGATTTTTCTTAACAAATTAGAGGATTTTTTTCAATAAAATAAAGAGATTTATCTTATCTGCTATCAGCATCAAACTCTAACTCTCATGCTCACATAATTGGTATGATAAACAAAGGAAGACGTGAGGCAAGTCAAAAAAGGAGAACAAGGAAGGTTTCATTAGTTTGCAGCAAGTAAAACTCTCAGTTAATTGAGACTTTAAGGGATTGAAGTTGTAATCCTTTTTCTTGAGATTGTTTTCTTGAGTATGGAAACTTAGATTGTTATATTCTCGATTAGAAAATGTGGAATAAAATATAGGAGATAGGATAAAAAAACACCAACACAAATTCACTAATATATGAAAATTATTATATAAAAATATTATACATTAAAATTTAATAGTTTTAATAAAATATTTTATATATATATATATATATATATATATAATATCTTTGTATCATAATTTTCGTAGTTTAGTGTCTTTGTGTTGGAATTTTTGTTATCCTCCTTTCTTTTATCTTCTCTTTTGCTTTTTAGATCCAGAATATGATGATCTTACTGCAAATCCCCATACATAAGAGAATAATTTAAAGAAAAAAGAAATCACATAAACAAGCTCTCTCGATTTAAATTCTAAACATGCGTTTCTTTAAAACCTAAAAACTTATGCATATTTGATAGATGATCTCATCCGGGTACCATAAATTAAATGTCACTTTAAACTCTAATTTATAATAATACCTTACATTCACTATAATCTTCTTTAAGTGATGCCTTATATACTTATTTAACTGGAATAAATTAATATAGATGAAGTGGTTAGCCAAAGTTTTTTTTTCGATGCATATTAATGACCATGACATGTAAAGATATAAATTTTGATATTTCATAATAATATAAATGTGTTTTTCAAACTTTGAAAGGACATTATCTAAAATTTAGAACTTCAAAATAAATAAAAGAATGTCACAGTACATTTAAACATGTCACTTCATATATTCTCATCCTCTAGTACCTAATGCAAGAGAAGACTCTCCCCAACAATGCAAACCATTGGTTTAAGAGTTGCTTAAAATGACTTTGCACTCACAAAGACTACAACTCACATTTGCTATGACACACACACACACACACACACACATATATATATATATATATATATATATAGTGAATATTATTATAAGCTAATTTATTAGTCTCACTTAGGAGATTCCTCTCGTGCAAAACCAATAACAATGTCATCGTTCTTCACTCTAGTATCTTAGATTTTTAGCATCAACTTGAGTATATTCAATCTGAAATTTTTTGTTTATTATATATCATAAATCGGGTATAAAAGATGTTAGAGGAAAATATCATTGATATCTTGATTAGCCTAATGTGATCCAGATTCATCTAAGTAGAATTGTCTAAGGTGTTTTCGATGTGAAAACATTATGCACCCAAGGTGTTACTTATATGAAGACTAAGATCAATAGAGGTTTTACGACTCGATCCCTTTAATGCTTAAGTTAGTAAATCAAAGTCCCCAAATATAGGTTCGAGTCGTTCTAAAAGAGAATCCTCCCCACTATTCATAATATATTTTTTCACCTTAAAAGATAAGAATGAAGCTTAGGATTAACTTCCTTGATGAGAAAAAAGTTTGTGATTATCTTTCTTATTATAATAAATAAGAAGAAAATTTGTATAGACAAACAGATATAGGGCGACTTGGATCCCACGTAATGATCACGTATTAGCTAACAGTAGCCCCCTAACATAAGGACATATAATGCATTTGAGTGTTTACTATAGTAGAAATTAGCTATAATGAAATAATCAAGAGATCATGTGTTTGGTGCAATACAACTTAGTAGTATTAATGACATTGAGAATATATTTGAACCAGATATGTAATCGATGGTTAAATGATATGTTAGCATGTTTAATGCTTGCACAACACTAAACCCTAATTCTTATTAATAATATTTACTTTTAACTTTCCGATTGAGAATTTATTTATAACCAAATATCAAATTGATAAATTATAAATTACTTATATTTTATTTGTACAACCATGTGTTAAGTTTACATAGTTTATTCAAACACTCTCATATAACTTTAGACTAACCAATATGTTCAACTTGATTATTATTTGTTATAATATTTTTTTTAATTGAGAACTTGAAGGAAAAGTTACCCAGGCAAAAGACTTAAAAAGACCCAAGTGATGCACATCCAAGAGTAAAAGTATAATTATTTTGGTTGTTGAATTCACTTATTATTTTTTATAATTCTTATGAAATATATAGCACCCCAAGAGGTCCCACATCGAAGGCAATATCATATATATGACATTATAGAGAAATAGTTGGATCGATTTATGGTAACTTTGTTTTTGTGAATCAGTAACCAAAATAATATATCTTTTAAAATTATTTTTTTGTGCAATGGATCTAAAGATCTCTTTTGGTGAATCCTAAATTTTTATTTGGAAGGAAATTATGTCATGAATATCATAGAAAATTTTCTACCATAATTTGTACTTTTAGATATCAAAAAAAAAATACACTCTCTTACACATGTACGCATGCAAATGCATCTAATTACTCTATAAATATAAGGCCAATTTCTTTCCTACCCCAACATCTCCATGTATGAGTATGACAGGATAGATAGAGCTTAATGATATGTATATATATTTTTTTTATGGAAGCTTTGGGATCGAACTCTGAACCTCATACTCACATATTTAGTACGAGAAAATTAAGATATGAGGTTCAAGTTCAATCCCAGACTTTCCATGAAAAAAAA